TTTTTTTTTTTTTTTTTTTTTTTTTTTGGGCCATTCTTTCGTGGCGTAATCTTGTGACACAGTGACACACATGTCACGACGGCTTTGAGGCTTGGTAGGGGCGATCGCGTCCTTGGAGGCTCGGTACCGATCCCGATCCTCATAGCGGTCGGTCGGGTCATGTGTGAAAACGACTGCTGTTTTTTTATCCCCTACTGTAACCGACAATTAGTGTTCAAATCCACGTTGGCACTGACAGATTTTGACTGTTCCACGTGTGGTGTAGTTGCTCGTGTCAGCTGCACACACTATAGGCACTTCCACGTGTCAGATGTAGACAGTTCCACGTGGCAGATGCTTCCACGTGCCAGAAGTAGAGAGAGTTCCAATCTCAGATGTAGACAGTTTCCTGTTGCAGATGCAGACAGTCCACGTGTCAGATGTGGGACAGAGTTGTCAGTGACGTCTGCATCTGACACGTAGTCCTGATGGGGGGGGGGGGTCTGATACGTGTCAGATACAGACGTAGATAGCCCCACGTGCAACGGTGCCACACGTTTGATGTAAATCGTTCCACGTGGAACGGTCTCAGGCGTCTGCATCTGACACCTGTTTCCTGACGGGGGGGGGGGTCTGATACCTGTCAGATACAGACGTAGATAGCCCCACGTGCAACGGTGTCACACGTCTGATGTAAATCGTTCCACGTGGAACGGTCTCAGGCGTCTGCATCTGACACCTGTTCTGACACGCATCACATGCAGACGAACATAGTTCCACGTGGGACGGTGTCAGACGTCTGCATCTGACACAGCGTCTGCATCTGACACGTGATTCTGAGACGTGTCAGATGCACAGACGTGTAAGCTACCGTAATTCCACGTGGTATGGTGTCGGACAGACGTCTGCATTTTTTAACACGTGTATAACTTCCCCCACATGTCACATTCAGACGTAACTTGTCTGATGCAGTTCCACGTGGCAGATGCAACCAGTTCCACGTGGCAGAAGCATAGAGACAGTTTTACGTGTCAAATGCAGACAGTTCCACGTCAGGTGTAGACAGTTTTACGTGTCAAATGCAGACAGTTCCACGTCAGGTGTAGACAGT